TTTTTTTTCATGCTTTTTGTCGGACGTGATCCACAAAGTTCTTTGATGGCATGGATGACGATGGCAGTGAGTGTTTTTTGACTTATTCACAAAGTTTTCGCTTTTTTGCTATTCGGTTCTTTATTCGAATTCCCCACTTGCAAAAAAAAAAAGAAAAGGTCTAATTGTGTTAATTCGGGGACGTTGATTTAAATTTTTAACAGATCCTCAAAACTGTGGGGAATTCAACAAGAACCGAGAAAATGGCAGAAAGCGGAGACCCGAAAAAACGGGCCCCTTCCCTAAAAGGGATTTCAGGGTTCATGGTGATCCAAACCCTCCCTTAAACGACAAGTTAATAAGCGAATTCGAGAAAAATCAAGAACCCATTTCGAGAAAAACAACCCGTCCATGTGGGCCCGATCGACCGAGACCTCCAAACAATGACAATGGCGTTATGAAACCTAAACCGGTCATGCAAATGAAGGTGAAAAACGAGAAAAAATCTGATCAAGTCACAATTCTGAAGAAACCAGTCCCTAATCAACAAGAGGTTAGTGACTTGGTGTTTGATTGTGAAGATAGATTCGAGCTTTACCTGTCCTTTTTTTATGTAATAAAGAAACTTAGCGCTGTAGATTTTCTTCTGCCAGGAGTTGAAGTGTAACAATGAGGATTTCGTTCGGACGAAATTAGAGGCTGCTAAGAGGAAACTTCAGGAACGATATCAAGAAGCCGAAAACGGTTAGTTTGCTTACCCTTCCTTTTTGAAGTTCAAATACCCTATTTTTAATTAAAAACAAAATCTTTTTTTTTTTTTTTTAATTATTATTATTGTGCCAAGCTATTTGACAGAATCTGCTAAATGTACTCAGATAAAAAGAAAAAGAAAATGGGGCAGCTACTTCTAATTATATTTGATTTTTCTCAATCACACAGAACTCGAGTGTATTTATGCTACACACTTGATAGTTTTTTTTTACATGTAACAGTGCTATATTATCCTTCTCACTCGACTTTGTTATGCTTCTCAACAGCTAAGAAGCAAAGAACGATACAAGTTGTCGAGCTGCATGATCTCCCAAAGCGAAGCCTTGCTCAAAGTAGGCCTAGTTTCCAGCATAGACAACGGTCTAATGGGCGACGGTAGTTTTTTTGTTGATAACTCAAATCTAGTTTCCATAAATGAAACATTCAGGAATTTGAGAGATTTCGAGGGGATGATTTTCTTTTCATTTGTGCTTCCTTTTTTGACGGTATAAATTATCGACTGTAACAAATAGATTCTATAGAAGAGCGTGACCATAGAAGTCGCTGCTTGCCTTCGATAATTTTCGACAGAATTGAGAGGGCATGTTTTTTGCGCGCTGAGTAAGTACATTTGACTGTCTCCGGATAATGAATTTTGGCCTATTTTAAGCATTTTTTTAACTTGAATTTGGAGCTTCCAGAAGCTTCTAGAGTAATAACTCATGATGAATTTTATGTAGCAAATGAAAATGAGGTGTAAGCAAATTTTTCTTTATGAAGAATATACAGAATTTTAGTCCAGGGGGAAGTTATGCTACTTCTTTCTGTTGCTATATGATAAAAAGGGTGTTTGGAGGAGAGCGTATGTTTGATTGAAGTAATGTGAGTGATTACATTTGTACTTTTCAAAAATTCGAACAACGAATCCAAATAAATTATAGTAATAAACAATTAATCACACCATAAACTCGAGATTAATGAGTTCAGAATCATGAACTTCGCTGTACAGACGGGGTCATGCTACGAATTAGAATAATGTAACACCCAATTTATATAAGAACTAAAATTCGAAAGCATGCTGCAACTGCGAATAGTCAAATGACTGAGGAGAACTTGCAGATAACAAAGGCTATGGTAAGAAAGATTATTGTAACACCCAATTTATATAAGAACTAAAATTCGAAAGCATGCTGCAACTGCGAATAGTCAAATGACTGAGGAGAACTTGCAGATAACAAAGGCTATGGTAAGAAAGACTAATCGTGAGGGCTTCCTTCTTTAATGGAGCAAATGTTGTATCCCAAGATGATACCTACTTGTTAGGCAATTTGTTTCATTGTTGTGTGTGTTTGATACTTGTAATGTTTTGATGTACAAATTTGTAATATATTAGCTCATTTTACACTTCAACAAGAGAAATGTCACTTGTTTGGGTAGCTCAGCTCCTCTTCCTACCCAAATAGTGTGTGATCCATGTTGCAGATTATGTCGGTGTACTCGGCCTTGTTTCTTTGAGTTTTAAATAAAGCTATCGTTTGAAAAAATATAAAAACAATGATACAAATATAACATAATAAACAAAATAATAATAATAATAATAATAATAATAATAATAATAATAATAATAATAATAATAATAATAATAATAATAATAATAATAATAATAATAATAATAATAATAATAATTGACATCACCAACCTTGCAACACAATTACCATATGAATTCAACCAGCATACCAAATAGTTTGCTCATGCATCACAATTAATAGGGCTATAGCACTCACATCAAGAACCAGATACATTAACAACAGAAATGAAAGCATAACCACAAAGAAAAAAGGAAAGATAACACACGCAGAAAACACAAAGCACATAAAGGAAAATACTTCCCTTCCTTCTTCAAATGTGATCCATACCTTCTTCTTCATCTTCTTCATCCTCATACTCCCCCTCGTCGTCTGCCGTGGCATCCTGATACTGCTGATACTCCGAAACCAAATCATTCATATTGCTCTCGGCTTCAGTGAACTCCATCTCGTCCATACCTTCTCCCGTGTACCAATGCAAGAAAGCCTTCCGCCTGAACATGGCAGTGAATTGTTCGCTCACGCGCCGGAACATCTCCTGAATTGAAGTCGAGTTACCTATAAAAGTCGAGGCCATCGAGAGTCCCCTAGGCGGGATGTCGCAAACGCTCGACTTCACGTTGTTCGGAATCCACTCGACAAAGTAGGACGAGTTCTTGTTCTGTACGTTGATCATCTGCTCGTCGACTTCTTTCGTGCTCATCTTGCCTCGGAACATGGCTGAGGCAGTTAGGTATCGGCCGTGTCGTGGATCGGCTGCGCACATCATGTTTTTAGCGTCCCACATCTGTTGGGTGAGCTCGGGGACAGTAAGGGCACGGTATTGTTGGGACCCGCGGGAGGTGAGAGGGGCAAAACCGACCATGAAGAAGTGGAGGCGCGGGAAAGGGATGAGATTGACGGCGAGTTTTCGGAGGTCGGAGTTGAGCTGACCCGGGAAGCGGAGGCAGCAGGTCACACCGCTCATTGTGGCCGAGATGAGGTGGTTGAGGTCGCCAACTGGTTCAAAATGAGAAAAATGGTAAAAACAAATGTCAAGGGTGTGCTTGGAAAAATGGTAAGTAACCAAATATGGATAAAGGCAACAATGCACAATACAAAAACTAACATCAATAAAGAATGAACCAAATGAATTGAAGCATAGGCAAGAATGCATTAGCAATATATACTCACAGCTTGGAGTGGTCAGCTTGAGGGTCCTAAAGCAAATGTCATAAAGAGCTTCATTGTCGAGCACCATGCACTCATCGGCATTCTCAACAAGCTGATGAACTGAAAGTGTGGCATTGTACGGCTCAACCACCGTATCTGAAACCTTAGGTGATGGGAAAACGGAGAATGTCAACATCATCCTATCAGGATATTCTTCTCTGATTTTCGAGATCAGCAAGGTGCCCATTCCAGAACCAGTCCCACCACCAAGAGAATGGCACACCTGAAAACCTATACCAATAAAAAAAGGGAGTGTCAAAGAAAAATGACACACCACTTCGCAATTTATAGAAAATATGGGCAAAGAGAGATTCAATATATCTCAGTTTACCTTGAAGGCAGTCACAGTTCTCAGCCTCCTTTCTTACAACATCAAGAACAGAGTCAATCAGCTCAGCACCCTCGGTGTAGTGCCCTTTTGCCCAGTTGTTTCCAGCACCCGACTGACCAAATACAAAGTTATCAGGCCTGAAGATCTGCCCGTATGGTCCGGTTCGGACACTGTCCATGGTTCCAGGCTCGAGATCCATGAGCACAGCACGAGGTACAAATCGGCCGCACGAAGCCTCATTGTAGTAAACGTTCACACGCTCCAACTGCAGATCTGAGGTGCCAACATAACGCCCAGTGGGATCTATGCCATGCTCGTCACAGACAACCTCCCAAAACTTCGAGCCAATTTGGTTCCCGCATTGCCCTCCCTGAACGTGAAGGATTTCTCTCATTTTCCTAAAACTATTCAAAAATAATCATTAGAAAGTAGAAACCATCGTACGAGCTACGAGCAACTGCAAATGATAGTACAAACTCAATTTAACTATTAAAAAGAAGTCAATAATTGAAAACAGAGCAACAACAATAAAGACCACTACATTCAGGAAAACCAACCAAGACAATCAGATCTTAGGTATACACATTTGTAACGGGAGGCATATATCGAAATAGCATCATATTACAAACTTGAATCATAAAGCTGAAAATCTACGCTGATCGGAAGAAAAAAAAACAAACAACTGCAATAATCAACAAAAAAATCCTCTCCACAAGATCCTCAGATTTCTGCAGCTACCACACAAAAATTGAAACACATTTCTGTACGATCTATACACCAAACGCATCACATAAAAAAAACGCAGGATCAGTCACCAGGTTCCCCAAGTATATGAAATCCAAAACATACAAACACCAAGATCTACAATAATCTGCACATTCAATCACAACCCCTAGCAGAAAAAAAGCAAAAACAAACACTAATCAACTCAATCCAAAATAAGATCCACACAATACAATGCTACAAAATTCCACCAATCTCCAGATCTTCGGACTTCAGCAGCTACCACACAAAAAAAGAAACACGTTTCTCTACGATCTGGACACCAAACACATCACATTACTAGAATCTGCACATTCAATCACAATCCCAAGCAGCAAAGGCAAAAACAAACACTAATCAACGAAGACGTAAGATCCAAAACCAGATCTACAAAATGTAATGCTACCAGTAAAAAGCACAACATGATCACATTTTTCACAAGCCGACATTCAACCGAGAGATCTAAGACCATCTCCAGCTCTTACCTCTACTCTAACGCGGATTTTACTCTACTTTAGAGTAGAGTTAAACATTCGTCTCCAGCCCTAAGCTTCAAGTAGGTAAAAATCGAGATGAATATTATGAACATACCTCTAGATTTGCGAGGAGAAGCACGAAGAAGTCTGTGAGCCGATAGTGGAAGTGATGAATTTCACTTGACCTTCACAGCCCTAACGACGGATTTTATACCTAGCAAGAGAAGATGATCGACGGCTCACATTGCTTCCCTCCTATTTTCTTTTTCTGTAAATCACGATATTGGACGGTCGAGATGAGGTGTGGCTTGTGATATAAGCAATGGGTTTTCAGTGTCATAAACATTTTCAGGTTGAGAGATGTTGTTTGACAATTTTGCCTATTAACTGTGAATAAAGTAGAAAACCTCTTTTAATGGTGAGTGGGGGTAGGAAAGTCAATACACACGATTGTAGATATTGTTATTGCTACTCAAAGTAGCTATGAGAGATCTATCTATGTGTTGGATATAAAGCGACAAAAGCCGTGTAAAGGACAGCTCACAGGTCACGTGGGACACTGCGCCTGGCATGTGACGCCTCAACTAATCTAAATTCAAATCCTTAATTTTTAGCTACTTGGTCATTACTCATGAGTTAAAGAGAAATCTATATAGCTTCTAATAATTGAGCTTGGATTCAACTTTCATCGATGAATCGAGCCAAGTTTGTTTATTGTCTAGATTAATGTACTAGTTATGTTGAGTAATTTGTTAAAATCGACGAGCTAAACAAAAATACGGAGCTTCTTATATTTATGCTCGGATTCAACTCCTATCGGTGAGTCGAGCCCAATTTGTTTATCGGCACGATTAATGTACTAGTTATGATGAGTAGTTTGTTAAAATTAACGAGCTAAGCAAAAATGTCGACCTTCTGATACTTAAGTTCGGATTAATTTCTTATCAATGAGTCGAGCCAAGTTTGTTTATCGTCTTGATTAATGTCGAGTTATGTTGAGTAGTTTGTTAAAATTAACAGTTAAGCTCGAGTAGTATCGGTTGAGATTAGGTTTCAATATAACTTTATATTTTTTTCAATATTTAAACTAATAAGATAAAATAATATTTTTCTTGTAATAAATAAAGAAGTTGCATTTTTTATCAACTATTATAAGAGAGTATAAATTTATACTCCTAGTTTTATCAAATATTTAGATTTTAGTTGTTGATTTTGGAGGGAGTATTCTTTGAGTGTTTGAGGGACATTTTCAAAACTTTTTAAAATTCGGCATTTATGATTTTTAATACTTTTTAAAATTCTTTGATTTAGGTGGAATCTGTAGAAGTGTCATGCATAGATGTGAGATTTGATTTAAGATTTCATTTATGTAATTTTGTCTTTAAAATTTTAGAAAGTTTTAGAAAGTCCAACCAAATCTCAATGCTATACATTGAATACATGAGGACTTTATAAGACTTTTATATCTCAAATAAATACCTAATTTTTTTTAAAGACATTTTAAACTTTCAAATTAATACACCATGATTGTTAAATTTAAAATAAGTATAAAAATCTCAAATGAATACATTCTCTTTGAAATTTCAAAGAAAAATCGATTATTCTCCAATCAAGTGGTAATTGAAAATTAAATTATTTTGATTAATGTAAACTAGTACAACGCTCGTGTATTACACGGGTGCTTGCTAATTTTTTCCTTAAAATCTAAAATTAATGAGAAAAAATAGTTAAAAATTTAAATACCTTTTATCATATATATATTATTATATATCTAGTATGACACTTTTTATTTATGTGACTTACTTGTTTTATATTATAATAATTTTTTAACTTACAACATATAACTATATTAAACATAAATATATCAACTGAGAAGTAATTTTATTTTTCAAATAAATTTTAATAAATATTATTATTTATTATTATTACGAAGATAAATATAATTTATTTATTTTATATATACAATATGGATGTCAAATCGAAGATCATGAAAAGATGATTAATTGGATATATTATATATGTAAAACCGATAAGAAATACAAAAGTTATCAACTTTTAAAATACATTTATAATTCAATAGCTAACTGAATGAAACAAATCAAAAGTCAGGAATATATTAGTCACTTAGTATGTAAAATTACAAAGAATTAAAGGTTATATTAGTACAAGTGATATTAAAATACCTAAGTTAGCTAAATAATATTTATGGAATGTCCGAACCTAGATTATTAATGATTATAATATCAATATTATTTGTCCAAACCTAATTACGAAGCATGATTCTTCGCCAAGTAAGATTACGAAGCATCAGAAATATCCACGTAGACTCATTATATATAGGAGGATTTCTTTATCATATATAATATGCGAAACTAATTTGTATTGATTTTCCAAATATAGAGTGAAACACTTTTTAAGAAAATGAAAAATAGAACAAAATGGAGATAATATAATACAAACATGAAGTACAACATCCTACACATACTATGCAATTCTCATTAGTAAATCAAACATTTACAATAAATATTCTCATCTTTATGTCAAAATTTCATACTTTAAACAAATATATATACATGAATAATAGAATTATATTCTTGAACATTAAATTAAATATGCTAACTATAACTAACAATTAAATTGACAAACATCGTTATTTTATGTATTTTATTTTTTATATTAACTAGCATTGTTAACGAAAAGAACTACCCACGACTCACGAGTTTGACTCAGCTTAGCTCATTTAATGAATGAACCAAGCTCGAGCTAGTTAAGCTTAATAAATATATAGAAGTTTTTACATAATTTCATAAAGTTTTGAGCTCGATATCAAGTATGAGGGCTCGACTCGTTTACAAAATTAACACCAAAATACAACCACAAAGGTAGCATTTTGCAGGTCTCAGATCCTAAAAAGGCAAAAATCACCTTGCATGAGGCTTAAAATCCGAGCCAACTGAAGCAGTTCTGATTCTAATCAAGCTAAAATGAAGGAAAATCAAGAACATCCTTTTCCTGTTGTTGAAAAAGAAAACAAATCAAGCGAAATATCGGTAGAAAAGAAAGCTCACACACTTACATCGACTCTAACTGCAAGAAGCAGCAAGGTCTGAATAAAACGACACGTGGGACTTTTTCAGTTTCGATTAGAATATAATTCGTTTCTTTAAGCAAATAAGTCGTGCTCGATTATTTGCAGGCATCTCGTGGACTGAGGAGGAATATATCGAATGGTACTGCTGACGTGGCAGATATCGATGCTGCCGATGCCGATAATGACTTGGCGGTTGTTGAGTATGTTGATGACATGTACAAGTTTTACAAGTCTACTGAGGTCTATAAAAAAATTTACTAAAGATTAAATTTTTATTACAACCCAATTTTTATTTTCAGTGAACTGAAAAGTGTGTATGTGCGTGTGTTTTTCTCGTTTTTCATGCGAATGCAGCTTGAGAGCTGGTCATATAATTACATGGGCTCGTAGCCCGAGATAAACGAAAAAATGAGAGCCATTCTAGTCGACTGGCTCGTTCAAGCCCACCGAAAATTCGAGCTATCTCAGGAGACCCTTTACTTGACAGTGAACATAATCGACCGTTTTCTTGCGTTTATACCCATTTCAACGAAGGAACTGCAGCTACTCGGCATTAGTGCATTGCTTATAGCCTCCAAATACGAAGAGATTTGGGCAATTAAAATTAAATTAAACCAACTTTTTAAGTAAGTAATGGATAAAAATGCAATCTTGAAATGTTTTTTTTTTTCTTTTCAGGTTCTTGAATTAGTGTGCATCTTCGACAAGACTTACAGTAATGAACAAATATTGATTATGGAGAAGATAATATTAGACGAGCTCGAGTAACATTTAACAGTCACTACCCCTTACGTTTTTCTTGTTCGGTTCATCAAAGCATCGATGACCGGTTGTTCTACCACCAGCTAATTCTCTTTTGGCTGCTTAACTTTGGATGATGTGGTTTACTTTCCATTTTTTCAATCTGGTTGATTTTTTTATGCATTATTACAATAAATTGTGTTAAGTGTTGCAAACTTGTATTATGATTTGTTGGAGAAATTTCACTCCAATTTGTTGAACTTTTGTTGTGCAGCTGTTGTAATCTAATCTGATAAGGAAAATGTGAATAAAAATTGATGAGTT